TACTCAAATGTGTAGCAAGTGTGTTGTTAACTCCAAAATGAGGATGTATTAGCGCCCCCACGTCCTGCAGCATGAACTGCAGGTAAATTAACGCACTGCTCTCAACTGAGTTGGAGCAGTGCGGCCGCGACGCATTTTTAGTTCTGGTAACGTTTCTAACCATGCAATTTTATTATTTTCCCAGTGAAACCACATGATTTATAGGCTACTAACTGAAAATTACTGCATTGGTTTGTTGATGGATATCAGGAAATTCCTCACACGAAGCAGAGACAGGAAAGCAGTAAAACAAGATGAGAGAGGGAGGTTAAGGTCCCCTGATGAATTAGTGATTTAAGCTAACTAGTTACGTTAGGAACGTTATAAGCAATATGATAGATATTTACATAATTATAAATTTACGTTTTTTAATGTTTGCTGTAGAGAATGAAGGTGCTGGAGAAGGAAAGGGAGGAGGAGGCGAGACTGACAGGCAAGACACAGGTGAAGGACAGGAGAGACAGGACCATGAAGGTGATGAGGGAGCAACAACCAGCTTCCACAAACAAGAAGGGGACATTAGTGACTTAGGGGGAAAACATGATGGTCCTAAACAAGTGAAGTTGTCCCACCATCCCCAGCACAAATTTGGAGTAAAAAAATGTTCATTTAATTCAAAATGGTTTGAAAGCTTTTCCTGGTTGAAAAAGAAAGCCTTGTCATCAAGGATATGCAGTGTGTTTTCAACTTGCTTGATAACATCATATTCCCAACACTAACGCAGGTCATCCAGATCTCCCTCACCATCCCAGTCAACAGCTGTAGTTGTGAAAGGTCATTCAGTGTGTTGAGAAAGCTCCACACTTAGCTGAGGTGCACAATGGGACAAGACAGGCTCCAACATCTTGCTATTTTATCAGTTGAAAAGGAAGAACTTTCTAAACTGAGTCACAGTCTAGTGATTGACCGCTTTACAAAAATGAAAAATAGGTACACTTTGATGCTCATAAAATAAAAGAAAAACTTAGTTCAGGTTGAGTTAAACTTTCCCCTGAACTAAAACTCTGAAACCTAGGAATTAATGATTACTTCAGAATGTG